GGATTTATATCGACGGGCACTGTCATCAGATGCTTCAACTTCCTCGCTAGCACTAATGCTTCCTCCTCTGTGCTCGCTGCGCTCTTCGCCCTCTCCCTACTGATACAACTTTTGAACATTGTCTCCCTCACCTCCGGTAAGTCTCCCCTCCTCATTACACCTTTGAGTGCCAACTCAACTTCCCTCTGCAGTGTCTTCTGATCGACATTAGCAATATTCTGCAAAATGTTCTTTCCGTTACAACGAAAACTCGGTAGTGCAGGATACTGCGTAATTTTGAGCAACACGTGTCCTCCTTCCCTCGGTAACGTTTCTTCTTGACATGTGCAAGTGACCACCGGTTGACTTGCTGACAAGCAGTGGTTGGTAAGTGTCTCTTGAACATTCTTGTTGCGTCCCCACACGACTCTGATCCGCTGCTTCAATACCAATTTCAGCACCGGGTGGATTCTGCTGTTCTCGAATACCGCAGCAACCGTCTCTTTTATCCTCCTTTTTCTTAGCACATGGTTGTATGTGACCTTCACATTCAATTTCTTCTTAACTTCCACTCCTGTCTTTTTTCGTATGACGTCCACGATCATCTTCTTCAACGACCTCCTTGTCGCCTTGGTCTTGAATTCTCATGCACTGCGGTATAAGGAAAAAACAGCTTTGGAGTATCATAGTTTTTTAATTTCGCTATTCTTTTGGGCATCTCCAACAACTGTCTCAGGTAGTCTTTCCCCCTCAGTCGTGCACTGTCTGCGTTTTCCACCAGCGCGAGCCGGAACTGGCCTCCCTCCTCCATGATGCGCTTGGCTTTCCCAAGAGGGAGCTTCCCCTCAACATTCCGTAGTGTAGACGTATCGTACATCCCCTTGACAATTGACCACTTTTCACCCCAGACTTGACCCCCTGAGCTAGGCAACATAATGTTATTCCCTCCTGCTTTACTCGCCTCGTCCAACAGGGCACTCAAGCAAGCGTTTTTCTTCCCGGTGGTAAGATCCGTGTAGACTATCAATGTGCCTCTTCGATTAACCGGCCCGACCCCTTTCATTTTCTCCCTCTCTTTCCGTCCTGGTCTCGCCTTGTTTTTAGTCCTCACGAATTTTTCGATTGTGTCCAGTGATGGTGACAACCTTCCTATAAAGGTCCCTTCTAGCCTAACCAGGTCGTAGCCTACGCCTGTGGCTAAGGGAAGGGCCAGGTATTTGCCCCATCCAAACCTCTTAAGAAAGGCATACAACCTCGACACATGCCCTTTGTTCGCTGTTTCTGGACACCGTACATGCTCCCACCAACGCTTCCCTGCACCACGTACGGTTTGTCCTATATACATCTTTTTACACCACGGGGACACCACGCGGTATACTGTCAGTCCACTAAGATCAAAGAAGTCATGGTCTTTGGGCACGAGCAGGAGAAGCTTCAAGGCCCAGGGGATTTGTCCTGCAAGTGCTAGGAGCAGGAACACAGCGATGAACGCCTGCTCAACCATGATCTTGAACCTGGTCATACCATAGATACCCAGAGCACATCTCTTAGGCCCATGAATGATAGCAACCTGGTCTTGAGTTGCTTCTCTGGGGGTGGACACCGTCATTTTTCGGGTACTGCTGCTTCGACGCCCGACAAGCCATCTTCTCTCTTACTTCCTCCACTGTCTACTCCATCTAGCCACTCTTCGTACACCAGTCTGGTTTCCAGCGCCACTAGCTCCTTAACTGTCTGGTGCTTGACTATAAACTTAATGTTTCTACTCTTGCACATCTGCTTTAGCTCTGGGACTTTCTTCGCCTGCAGGCTTTCCTTCAGATCGAGAATGAAGTCAAGAACCCCTGCTTTGGAGCAAGATGCCACGGCCCCTTTGTTCCTCTCCTCCTCTACTCTTACCGACGCTTTCCCCCGTGCCACTATCGATCTCTTCCTAGTTACTTACGGGGTGACACACCCTGTTGGGTCAGCTGGCTGCAACACCTCATAATCCAGCACCAGTCTCCTCCTTAGACTAGGGGTGATCGCGGTCCGTGGTCCATGTCCCATCTCTGGAGCAGCGTCTTGCATGTACTGTTGCAGCTCGTTACGCAATGTCGTATCCGTCGGGTCCGGTGTCGAAAATATGGCGTCGATCGTCGATTGTACGTGCCCTTTTATCCGTTCTTCGAGTTGTTGCGGTTGCCTACCGAAAGCTTGGGCTGCTCTTGTGTCTATCAACTCTTCAGTGCACCGCCGTTCTATTTCCTCCCTTTGTTTGGCTTCTTCCAGTTTCCTCTTCTCTTCTTCCAAATGCTTATTTTCCAGATCCGCTTTCCGTAACTCTTCCTTCTCCTGCTACTGACTCTCGACAAAAGCGAACAACTTGCTAATCCTATCATCATGTTCTTCTTTCCTCAGCCAGTTACCTGAATTGCGCCCTCCTCCATAAAAAGTATTCTTTTCGTACCCGTTGTTGCCTCCAGGGGGCTGCGTCTGACTACTCTGTTGTTGCATCCCACCCCAAGCCCTCCCGTTCCTCTTATTCGGGCAGTCTCTTGCGTAGTGCCCATACTCACCGTATGTGTAACACTCCCCCTGTGGTTTCAACGGTAGAGCTAAGGCAGATGTGGGCGGAGGGGTTGGAGGGGGTGGTGGCGGGGATGTTGGGAGGGGTGCTTGGCTCGATTGATGTGCATAAGCCCCTAGCCCTGCTGCATAGCCTGGGTATTGGGTCATTCTATCTGCGAGATTAAGTGTATCCTAACCAACTTTCAGCTTGGAGACAACTACTACTTTAAGCAGAAGGGCTACCATGTACCCTCGTTCCACGAGATCAGCACAGTATGAAGATGAGTATTGGAGGAGAAGAAGAAGAAGAACTCCAACCAATAGTCAGTGGAGCTGACCCCCCCCAAAAGGGGCGAAGTTGGCGAACAAGGGAACCGTCGACCCCACTAACAGGGCCGTTCCACCTATACTACACCACTCTCTTGACCCGGTCAACACTTCAGTCTCTAGCGAACCTCTGCGTGCCAGTTAACCTCACTAGATGAACTGTTCCGTAACGTTTTCCTTCGGCCTGCCTGTGCATGTACTTCTTCTTCTTTGTATCTCGTTTGCAGGGCTCTCTTACACCCGTCCTCCTCCTTCCTCGCCACTCATTTTCTTCATTTCTTCGTTTCAATCCTTCGCTCCTTCGTAGTATTCCGCTACCTCACTCTCTACTGGATGCTAGCTAAGATGATCAATAACTACCACACCACCGTGGAGGGTGAACGGGGGATGAACGTCGACACCCCCAACAGGGTTGTTCCACCTACACCGCACCACTCTCTTGGCTCGGTCGACACTTCAGTCCCTGCTTAGCATCCACGTGTCGGTCAATCTCGCTCGACAAGCTGCACCGTAACCGTTTTCCCTCTTCAGCCTGTCTGCACTTAAACTTCTTCTTCTTCGTAATCCGTTTATAAGGTGCTCCGCTTACACCGCTCGTCTTCTGTTCCACTTCGTCTTCATGACCAAAGGAGGGAAGAAGAAGAAGAAGAAGAATGGAAATAGTGGCCAAATGCCTTTCGTACACGCTTCGAATGCTCATCAATACATAACATCGCATACTCATCTCAAAACACGTGCACATTCCCCGACGCGTTTCAATCAGTTGCGCTCCGATCATCCTCAGGGGGCTTTCCACACACCCTCTCACCTTGAGGCCCACTGAACGCATCTTTCATCTGAGAACTGAGGGCCGATCAGGCCTTGCCCTCCTATATACTGAACGCCAAGTAGGACGCTTCGTCAGCACGACACTCCCGCCCCTAACGGGCACATCCACGAGCTACTACGACTACAGCTGGACTGCCACATAGACGTTGCGATGAACGCTATAGTGTCCGTTACGTGTCCGAATTTTCGGCGCAACGTCAGAGCCCGCAAGCCAGCTTTCCCCACATGTTCACGTGTCGGGGTACCATGTAATGACTAACGTCTCTTTCCCTGTCACCAGTCATTCCAACGATGAAGTCTCTCCTTCAAACTTTCTTTCACTTATCAACGATCTCCCATTGGCCCACTCCTTCCTCCGTTCTAATTTCCCATTGGACTAATCCGTGCGTCGCGGATCCCTACCTACTAACCTGGTACGTGGCACCTCGGTCCAGTCAGTTACACGTGTGTACGCACATGACCTGTACTTTCAAAATCCGACACACCGTGACCTGTACAAGTTCAAAACTCCGACGCTCGTATTTCTCGCTCTTTTGGAATGTGCGGGAAGTCCGGTAGTACCGTACCTGGGCTTCTTTTCTGGCAGCGGGGCTACCATGGCATTGCCACGTAATTTCCAGGACAAAAACGAAATTAATATACAGATGCTCCGAAATAATATTCCGAGAACGTGCGGGTAGTCTGGTAGTACCGTACCGTGGCAGTGCCATGTAGTTCCTAGGGTAGAAAGGAAATTAATTAATTACAGATGCCGATATTCCTAGAAAATAAATAAATAAAATTTCGATAACTGACTCAAGCGGAATTCCTACTATTACGATGAAATTTTCTACCCTACGCTAACCAGGCTGAAAAAATACCGCAAATACGGTACTATTTCAGAGCAGCTTTCCCTTCCCCGGCCGCGCGCCGTCCTTCCACAGTACGAGGTTCATGAGCTGCCTAATCCAGGGCTCTCTGAGAACGCTGGTGCCCTTAGCAAAGCGTGCTAAGGCTTTGAAGAAGAACGTCGGGGGCTATCCCCGGCGTAGGAGCTCGTACTTGAGCGCAAAAACCGGCAAGACCAGCATGCTTTCGCTATTCGCCATCTACTGAATGCGGTGAAGACAACCGATTATAGCACCCAATTTTGCCCGCTTATCGGAATAGGAATTGAAGTCCTGGAAACATCGGTGGACAAGACTCTGTTGCACTTCACCCATTCGGACATCCAGCCCGTTCTTGATCTTTGGTTCCAGCAGGAATAACGTCTTCCCAAGCACAGTCGTAAGCCTTGAACCCACGAAGTCCATGGTGTTTGATCCATCGTCTGTGCGGACCAAAGATAGCTTGTCCACCATAACAACTTCCGAACTTCCTTAAAATTTATCACGCCTCGCGGATGGAGCTCTCCTTTCTTCGGTTACACACAACTGCCAGCATCGCATCGTCCATGAACCTTACCCCATGGACAAGCTTCCGGTCGCTTCCCAGCGATCTCAGAAACCCTTTCTCATACTTCGCACAAAGTATGCATGCCAGTGGGGGACTGGAATTCTTTCCCATTGGCACTCCGATAACCTGCCTTAGCAGCTTTCCTCTGCACTTGGTGTAGGTATGTTGCAGCTCGAAGGAAATGAAGCTCCAGATGTGGCTGAAGGGAAGCTTGACGTAGCCTTTCCCGTACGTCTTCCTGCCGAGAGTGACTTGCTTCCTCCTCTTGCACACCGTGATCCTCTGATAACCTTTCTTCTCCCATTCTCCCAGAAGCCAGGTGAGTGCTTCCATGATCGTTGAGTGTCGAAGAGATGTAAACATCTCCTTAATGTCGAATCCCCCACTGATAGTCAGCGTATCCTTGACGTATTGCTGGAGCTTCGCTTCTGCCTTCTTCAGGTTTTGCTTGAGTTTGGCGGTAGCGGTGAGGTTAAAGTGCACCGCACCAGGTAGCTTCTCGAGCAAATAGTTGAGCGCCCTCGCAACCCAGCGGTTGCCAGTCGTCGTGGGCTCGCTGCACGCGGGCGCAATGGGCCGCCATCTCTCTAGATCCTTGTGTTTGGGTAGTACATACGCGTCACCAATTCTCCCCTTCGGATTCCAGTTTACTAGCTTGTGCAGGCCCCGACTCTCAAAATCGGCCCTCATTTCTTTCAGGATCACTGCTTCGTTGCTGCTGACTTCATCATATGCTACGCTCCAGGAGAATAATTTATCCAGACCGTGCTGGTATGTCGATGGACACATTAGCACGAGGTCTCCCGCGTTCATGTCCACTTGCGTGATTATCAGGTCCCTGAACTTCTTTCTGACTGCATAGACTATCCCTTCGTCAGCGTCACAGTGCAGATTCCGCTCTGCCGAGAAACAATCTTCAATTTGGAGGTCCGACAACTGCTCGCCTAATTGCCCATTCAACACAGATGAGAGGCCCAGTCGTAGACTGCTGCTGATTTCCTCTTCCGTCGTCTCGATTCTAGGACGGACCACGTTCTTCCCGTTCAGCACCAAGGCTGACAGTCCTGGGATATCCCCTATCCTTGTCAGTACATGCCCCTTGACTACGGCTAAGTCGTAGTGCTTGCACGTGCACGGCAACTCCGGCATCCTACTGTGCTGCTTGTAGCTACAAAGGATCTCGACTACATTCCTATTTCTCCTCCAAACTATTCTTGACTTCCTTTTGACGATCCCCGCTATAGCGGGGTGTAGCCCACAACTCTCGATTTTCATGATCAGGACATTTCTGATGTGGCTCTTCCTCACTTCCTTGCTATATCTGACTTGTACTGTTAATTGCTTTTGGATGTTCACACCGGCTTCCTTCCCACTACCCTTCCTAGGAAGTCCTTGATTGTCTTCCTCTTTTCCTTCTCCTTAAAAGACCCTGCACAACTGTACAGGTGCATGAGTTTGTTGACGGATAGGAGTGATAGCTCCTTCCGTTTGAAGGGCATCTCCAGGAGTTGTCGTAGGTAACCCTTCCCTCTATCTCTGGTGTTTTGCGTGAGAATGATGGGGGCAATCCAGAAATCACCCCCCTCCTCGAACCAGGTTTTCGAGTGGGACAAGGCGATCTTCCCCACCTGTGTTACGATAGTCGAAGTCCCGAACAATCTCCTGACTAACGACCAATCCTCTCCCCATACCTGACCGCCAACGCTGCCAATCCGGATCTGCTTCTTCCCCTCCTTATAAGATGATTCAAGAATCATCCGGAGGCTAGTGTTACCTAACGAGTAACTACCCGTCCGGAAGACAATAACGCGAGTCCACTTCGCCTCCGTTTCTACCCTATCTTTGCCAACCTTTGCTCTCCTCTCCCTCCTTCCTGGTTTCTTCTTGGGATTACCTGTCAACCCCTTCCCTAAGGTGTTAAGCGACGGAGAGAATCTTTTGATGAGTGTCCTTTCAAGGCTCTCCAACCCACTAACTTTTGAAGTGGCGATGGGAATAACAACGTAACTAAATCTCCTCAGCCATCTGTACAACAGCGGTGCCCTACCTTCCGTGCCTGATTCCGTACATCTAACATGCTCCCACCATCTTTCCGCGGTACCTCTAATGGAAGCCTTCCTACACCATGGCGAAACGAGACAGTATATGACAGGTTGCTTGAAGTCATACCAACTCCAGTTTCGTGGCACTACGTCTAAGAACTTTTTCGCCCACGGAATATGGCCCATTAACGCTAGCAATACCGTACAAGCGGTACACACCCTCTCTGTTACCAGCCTAAGTTTCGAGAACCCTGTGTGGCCCCAAATTGTCTCTCTTAAAGACAGGAGAATGACAATATAAGCCCAAATGAGCTTTGTTGTGGGCGCAAACCGTCATTGGTCCAGAATGTCTTCACATTCCCAATCCTCGTCCAATAGCTCGACATCTTCGCCCCATGCTGCTCTGTTGAGCAGCTCACGTACACCTTGCTCTTTAGAGATATAGCTAATATCTCTCACCTCGCAAAACTTCTTCACTTCTCGCCATTCCTTTGCCATCAGCTTGGACCTAGTATCTAGGATGTTACTCACCATATTCCCTTTACTGCACGATGTTGGGTTCTCTTTCCCTGCGGAGCAGTTCTTCATTCGTGTGCTGGTCTTCCGCCTCAGGCTCTTCTCATAGTCCACTCTTGACATGACTCGTGCTTCTTCTTCCCAGTCGTTCAGTGCTGCGTAATTCTTCGCTATTCGCTTCCCTCTCGCTCTCTTCGGTGGTATTTTCGATCCATCATCCGTCAAGACCTCTTCTTTCGTAAGGTAAGTATCGAGTCTGTTCACAAACGCCTCTCTATCCCGTTTCGGGGTCTTGGAGTTTACAGCTAACGCCATCTGGATTTTCGTTCTTATTTACGCTCGAAAGTTCCGTAGGTCCCTTGATACTGCAGCAATCGTTCTCAGCTCCGCCTCCTCAATTTTCCCATCTCTCCGGTCGCACTCCTCCAGCATCATCCTTCGAATCTTCTCATCCGGCCTCTCCTCTTCCATTTGTTGCTTTCTGCGTTCAGCTTCTATCCTTCTTCTCTCCTCCTCCGCCTTCTTGTTCTCCTCTTTCTCCATTTCCTTCTGCATTTTGTAATCTGCCCATCTCACCACTCGGTTTATGCTATCTTCATTCTCCTTCCTTGACTGCCAGTACTTCGCATTGTTAGCAAAGGCGCCTTGTCCCCTGCCCACTGGGCATCACTGGGCAGTCTCTCGCCATGTGGCCAGCTTGGTTGCAATTGAAGCAAATGATCGAGCTACTTGCTCCACCTGCTCCGGTCCCTGCGTTGCCCAACGACGTCATGCTCCTACTGCCCGAAGTACAGTGGCTGGTTCCCTCGGATCTCCCTTAGTATCTGCAACTCCGCAGACACTTGCCACTGAGGTGCCTCAACGCACCTATCTTGTTCTAACCCTTGCCTTGTCGTTGCCTGCTGCCTTGCTTTAACAAACTCGTGAAAACCTTGTGCGGCAAACGAGTCGTCGACACAGCCACCAGTGTGAGTATCTCCTCTCATCCAGTTACCATGCTACATAGAATAGTGGAAACAGTGGCCAACTGCCTTTCGTACACGCTTCAAATGCTCATCAATACATAACAACGCATACTCATCTTAGCACACACGCACATTCCCCGACGCGTTTCGATCGGTTGCGCTCCCATCATCCTCAGGGGGCTTTCCACACACCCTCTCGCCTTGCGGCCCACCGAACGCATCTTCCATCTGAGAATTGAGGGCCGATCAGGCCTTGCCCTCCTATATATTGAACGCCAAGTAGGACGCTTCGTCAACACGACACTCCCACCCCTAACGGGCACTTCCACGAGCTACTACGGCTACGGCTGGACTGCCACATAGACGTTGCGACGAACGCTATAGTGTCTGTTACGTGTCCGAATTTTCGGCACGACGTCAGAGCCTGCAGGCCAGCTTTCCCCTCATGTTCACGTGTCGGGGTGCCATGTAATGACTAACGTCTCTCTCCCTGTCACCAGTCATTCCAACGATCAAGTCTCTCCTTCAAAATTTCTTTCACTTATCAATGATCTCCCATTGGCCCACTCCATCCTCCGTTCTAATTTCCCATTGGACTAATCCGTGTGTCTCGGTTCAGTTAGTTACACGTGTGTACGCGCAAGACCTATACTTTCAAAATCTGACACACCGTGACCTGTACAAGTTCAAAACTCCGACGCTCGTATTTGCCGCTCTTTTGGAATGTGAGGGAAGTCCGGTAGTACCATACCTGGGCTTCTTTTCTGGCAGCGGGGCTACCGTGGCATTGCCACGTAATTTCCAGGACAAAAATGAAATTAATATACAGATGTTCCTAAATAATATTCCGAGAACGTGCGGGTAGTCCGGTAGTACCGTACCGTGGCAGTGCCATGTAGTTCCTAGGGTAGAAAGGAAATTAATTACAGATGCCGATATTCCTAGAAAATAAATAAATAAAATTCTGATAAGTGACTCAAGCGGAATTCCTACTATTACGATGAAATTTTCTACCCTACGCTAACCAGGCTGAAAAAGTACCGCAAATACTGTACCATTTCAGAGCAGCTTTCCCTTCCCCGGCCGCGCGCCGTCCTTCCACAGTACCAGGTTCTCGAGCAGCCTAATCCAGGGCTCTCTGAGAACGCTGGTGCCCTTAGCAAAGCGTGCTAAGGCTTTGAAGAAGAAGAAGAAGAAAAAAAAGAAAAGAAAAAGAGGAAAAAAGATCAATTACTACCAAATCACTAAAAAGACGAACGTCAACACCACTACCGAGGCCGTACCACCTGTACCGTGACGCGGTCGACAATTCAAAACATTGGTACGCTTCCGCGTGTCTGTTACCCTCGTTCGATAAACTGTTCCGTAACCGTTTTTACGTCTTTAGCCCGCCTGCGCTTATACCTCTTCTTCTTCATATCTCGTTTGCAGGGTTCTCTAAGACTCGTCAACCTCCTTTTCTGCTACTTAACCTGCTCCTTTATCACTACTCATCTTCTTTGTCTCCTCGTTCCACTCCTTTACTTCTTCGTATCCCGTTTGCAGGGTTATCTTACACTCGTCAACCTCCTTTTCCGCTACTCATCCTCCTCCTTTATCACTACTCTTCTTCTTTGTTTCCTCGTCCCACTCCTTCACTTCTTTGTAACCCACTACCTCGCTCCCTACTCGATGCTAGCTAAGAAAATCACCAGCCACCACACCACCGAAGAGGGCGAACAAGGAAGTAGCATCGGCACCACTATCAGGGTTGTTCCGCCTATACTGCACTGCTTACTTGGCCCGGTCGACACTTCGGCCTCTGGTTAGCATCTGCATGCCATTTAACATCACTCGATAGACTGTCCCCTAGTTGTATTCCTTCAGCTTGCTTGCGCTCATATTTCCCTCCTTCGTATCCCATTTGCAGGCTCTCTTACACTCTCCCACCACCTTCCTCACCTCTTGCCCTCTTCGTTTCTTCGTTTCACTCTTTACTTCTTCTTCGTAGCCCACAACCCCATTCTCTTCACGATACTAGTTGTAGAAACCACGTTGCCGTTCTCCCTTTTTCCTACCCGTGCACCACCAATCAAACCCCGGTGTCGTTCTAAAGTTCCTCTACATGTGTGCTACATATAGTATACTTCCACGCCTCTACTCTTTTCTCACTGTTTACCCCCCCCCTCCGCTTCTTCAGCTCACTTTGCTCGACTTCTTCACTTCTCACCTCTTCGCTCCGCTTCTTCGCTTTGCTTACTTCACCTCTCTTCACTTCACTTCTAACTTCGTTCTTCGTGACGACGTAACCACCTCCACGAGTACGACCTCTCGTTGGGTTGTTACGTGTCTGAGAACAAGACAGTAATGGCGAGGCCAATCACCACGCGCCCACGCTTACAAGTATTCAATAGACTGTATGGACAATAAAACTCACAAACACGCGCATTCCCCGGCGCGTTTTGCCTGGCTACGCTTTAGGGCTTATCAAGGGGCAGACCACACTCCCGCATCCACCTGTCTATCCGCCTGAGCTCTGAGAGTCGTTCTGGCCTTGCCCTCCACATATATCGTACCCGTGCCACTCTGCACGTCCCTAACAACATGGCGTAGGCACTCCCTTCACCGAGCGTAACAGAACAGGCCTGCCTACACTGCACTCCGCCAGGATCCTCACGTGTGCACCTATGTTGCGCCCAATACCCATTCTGCACGTGTACCGATTCGCCAGGAGAGTTCAAATGCGAAACAGCCCTGTAGGGCCTGAAAACGTCCAGGTACGTCCCGTCTGCTTTTTTGTTTTCAACCCTATAGGGTGCACACACCTACCTGGTTTCTTTCTCTCATGCCCCTCCACGGGCCTGCCTGGCTACCGATGTGTACTATCTACTCGCTACTACTGCTGATACCATTCCTGGTAATATCCCTCCTACTCCTCCCTTAGTATACATTTCTCCCTTCCCTCGGCCCACCCTCCCATACTGCCTATTCTTCCTGTGTGCGCACTCGTCTCCTGCTAGTTCATTCATATTGTCTATTAACCCAGATAAGGCCCTATGCCTCTGCTGTCGGGTTCCCCGACTACCTTTAGTCAGCTGATTCGGTTGATAATGCCACACATACCCCCTACTTGGGTACATATGTTATACCGCGGTACCATGTACGGGGCGTTTCTGGCTCTCGTCGCTTTCCCTTGCAGGTCACCCTCCCCCCTCTGAATGTTGTTCCATCTTCCTCATGCCGGTCTACGTTTAGTGAACTGGACCAGTCCTTCGGCGAGCATCTGCCATGCTTCGCTGAAGGTGCAGTTAACTCTAGCAAACCTTGCCAGAGTGTGGAAGAAGAAGAAGAAGAATAGTGGAATAGTGGAAACAAGGGCCAACTGCCTTTCGTTTCGATCGGCTGCACTCCGATCATCCTCAGGGGGCTAACCACATACCCCAGCCTTTCGGCCCACCGAGCTTACCTCCCTTCATACTGAGCATGGACGACCGATACAGCCTTGCCCTCCTATATAGTGTCCAACGAACGAATAACTCAGTTACGCACGGTACTCTGTCCCCAACGGGTCTTACAACGACCGATCACGGCTACGATCTCTGTCGGGTAGACGTTGTGCAGAGCTACGTCCTAATCCGTTACGTGTCGACCCACCTATCGGGCAGTGGATAGCCAGTCTTCCTATGCTTGCGTTCGTGGGCAATCGGTTTAACCCTACATGCCGGCTATCGTTGCTTGTACCTCGTGTACAAGTTACTATGCAAACCAAAGGAACGTACCCATTCAGACAATCGTATTCCTGTCTCCAACTCCTATTGGGTTAGAAAGTGCTACGTGGATCTGTGGCTTTGGCAGTCACTTACACGCGGGACGTACAATATAAGTTCAAAATCGCCACGCAACATGGCTTCCCGCCGTGGTTCGGCAGTCAGTTACACGAGGGACATACTGCACAAGTTCAAAATCGCCACGCAACATGATTTTCCGCCAACATCAGCATCCTATCCCCGACCAGTTCTACCAGTCCCTATTGGACTATAACGCGCTGCGTGGATCCGCAGGCAGGGGCTAATACGTGGCAAGGTCAGTCAGTTACACGCGTACCGTATAACCTGTACAAATTCAAAATGCAACGCTGCCCGATTTCCCGCTTGAAATTAGGCGGGTACCATACGTGAGCCCAAAACTAAATACTTTCGAAGAAAGGAGAAATAATTCTGTAGATAAGAAATAATTAATTCCGAAGGGAAGTAAAATTCAGAAGAGAGAAATAAAGGAAATACGGGGAGAATCGAGCCTAAAGAATTCGAAAAAGTGGGCCGCTATTTTTCAGGGGACTACCCAGTGTCTATTACGGTAGCAACCTTGCAAAATTTCTACCGTCCGCGCGGCGACTGAGGCTAGTGCTTACGACCCCGATTTCCACCAAGCAAATTTGGGCCGCGAACACTTATCCCAGTGAACCAGGTTCTCAAGCAGCCGTAGCCATGGCTCCTTGAGAGCACTGGTGCCCTTAGCAAAACTCGCTAGGGTATTGAGGAAGAACGTCGGGGGGTATCCCCGACGTAAGAGCTCGTTCCTCATGGCCAGAACTGGCAAGATTAAGGTATTCTCATTGTTCGCCAACTACTGGATGCGGTAGATGCTACCGATCATACTACCTATCTTGGCACGCTTATCTGAGTAGGAGTCGAAGTCCTAAAAGCAGCGATGAACCAGGTCTTGCTGCACTCTCCCCAACTGGCACTTCAACTCGTTTTTGGCCTTCGGTTCCAGGAGAAACTTCACTGTACCTGAAGCAGTCGTAACTCTTGATCCAATGAACTCGATGGTGTTAGAGCCATCGTATGTTCGGACCAGTGAGAGCTTATCTCCGTAGCTAGTCGTGAATTTCTCCAAGATCTCCAGGGCCTTCTCGACTGATCCCTCCTTCCTTCGGTTACAAGCTACTACCAACATGGCATCGTCCATGAACCTCACTCCATGGACCAGCTTCCGATCGCTTCCTAATCAACTCAGGAAACTGTCTTCATATCTCGCACAGAGTATGCAGGCCAATGGGGGACTGGAGCTCTTCCCCATTGGTACTCCGATGACTTGCTTCAGCAGCTTACCTCTACAGAGCGTATAGGTATGCTGCAATTCGAAGGCTACGAAGCTCCGGATAAACTCGAAGGTAAGCTTTACGTACCCTTTGCTAAACAGCTTCGTGCCAAGGGAGACTTGCCTTCTCCTTTTACACACTGTGATTTTCCAGCAGCCTTTCTTCTCCCACTCTCCCAGCAACCAGGACAACGCCTCCATGATAGCAGCATGTGGAAGCGAAGTGAACATCTCTTTGATATCAAACCCTCCGCACAGCGCCATCGTATCCTCGCTCCGTAGCCGCAGTTTCTTCTCTGCTTTTCCCACATTTTCTTTGAGCAAGGCCGTTGCGGTAAGGTTGAAGTGCCTAGCTCCAGGCAACTTTTCCAGGAGATAATTGATCGCTCTCGCAATCCACCGACTTCCGGTCATCGTGGGTTCGCTGCAGGCAGGCGCAATGAGTCGCCAACGCTCGAGGTCCTTGTGTTTAGGAAGAACGTAGGCGTTACCCAGTTTCCCCTTTGCGTTCCAATTTACCAACCTGTGCAAGCCACGATCGTCGAATTCCCGCTTCATCTCCTTTAATGTTTCTGCTTCGCTGCTGCTAACTTCGTCGTATGCTATCCTCCAGGTAAACATCTTGTCCAAGCCATGCTGGTACGAAGAAGGGCACATCAGCACCAGGTCGACTTCGGAAATGAGTAAGCCCTTGAACCGCTTCCTGACAGCGAGAACTAACCCTTCGTCTGTGCCACTGTGCTCGTTCCGCTCAGATGTAAAGTAGCTACTAATCTAAAGCTCAGACAACTGCTTACCAATTCGGCTTCCGAGCACAGTTGAGAGCGCAAGTCGGATGTCGCTGCTGACTTCCTCCTCCGTCGTCTCGAGCCTAGGACGGACGATGTTCTTTCCGTTAAGTGTTGGGGTTGGTAACCCCGGGACGTCTGCTATCCTAGTGAGCACATATCCACCAATAACTGGCAGATCGTATTGCTTGCATGTACATGGTAGTATTGGCTCCTTACTCAGAGATTTGTGGTTGCAAAGAATCTCTACAACATTCCTATTCCTTCTCCATACTACCCTTGTCTTTCTTTTGAAAATCCCTACGACTGCAGGGTGTAAGCCGCAGCTCTCGATACATGTGACCAGGACTCTCCTAATGTCGCTCTTCTTCACCCTGCTACTGAACCTAACCTGGACCGTGATCCGCTTACAAATGTTTACACAGGCTTTCCTACCTACCGCTTTCCCCAAGAAGTCCTTGATCAATCTTCTCTTTCCCTTCTCCTTGAAGGAGCCAGCGCAGTGGTAGAGGTGCATAAGCTTGTCCACAGTCATAAGGGACAACTCCTTTCGTTTGAACGGCATTTCCAAAAGTTGCCGCAGATATCCTTTCCCACGGTCTCTCGCGTTTTCTGCGAGGATAATGGGGGCAATCCAGAAAGTGCCACCCTCCTCAAACCAGGTCTTTGATACAGATAAAGCTATCTTTCCTACCTGTGTCACGATTGTTAAAGTACCAAATAACCTCTTTACTAGCGCCCAATTTCCCCCCAAATTTTTCCACCTTCGCTAACGATCTGGATCCGCTTCTTCTCTTCCTTGTAAGCGGAGTCTAGAACCATCCTTAGGCTAGTATTACCAAGCGGGCTATTATTCGGTCTAAAAACGATAATACGTGCCCGCTTCTCCACAGCCTTTCCCTTCTCACAAGTTAACCGCGCTCGCCTTTCCCTTCTTCCCAACCTTCTCTTTCCGTTCCCTTTCTGCCCCGTACCTACCATGTTAAGCGACGGGGAGAACCTTTTGATGATCGTTTTCTCTAGGTTCTCTATACCACTGATTTCCGAAGAAGCAATAGGGATAACAACGTATCTATTCCAACTGAACTTTCTCAGCCACTTATACAGTAGAGGCGCTCTACCTTCAGTACCTGATTCCGCCCATCTAACGTGCTCCCACCATCTCTCCGCTGCCCCTCTAATGGACCTACCAACATACGCTTTCCTGCACCATGGCGAGACAAGACAGTATACTACTGGTTGCTTAAAATCAAACCAGTCCCAATTACGTGGCACTAAGTCTAGGAATTTCCTAACCCATGGGACATGGCCAAGAAATGTCAGTAATATTAAGCAAGCCGTAGACGCTTTCTCGATAACCAGTCTCAGTTTCGACATCCCTGTGTGCCCCCAAACCGTCATTCTCAGCGTGAAGAGAATGACGATGTAAGCCCAGATGAGCTATACCGGGGGCACCGACCGTCATTGGTCCTGAATCTCTTCGCGTTCCCAAGTCTCTTCCAGGAGTTCGTCGTCCTCACACCAAGCCGATCTATTTAGTAACTCGCGTACACCTTGCTCCTTCGAGATATAGGTGATGTCCCTTGCTTTACATAACCTCTTGATTTCTCGCCATTCTTTGGCCATCAACTTCGATCTAGTATCCAAAATGTTATGCACTATATTTCCCTTGTTGTTGGACACAGGTATCTCCTTTGCAGCAGAGCCGTTCTTCAGCGGCGTGCTGGTCTTCCTCCTCAAGTTCTTCTCGTAGTCCGCTCTTGACATGACTCTCGCTTCCTCCTCCCAGTCGTCCAGTGCCGCGTAGGTCTTCGTTGTTCGCTTCCACCTTGCTCTCTTTGATGGTACCTTCAATCCATCATCCTTTAGTGCTTCCTCCTCCATCAGGTAAGCATCCAACCCGCAAGTTAATGCTTCTCTATCCCGTTTTGGCATTTTGGAACTAGTCGCCAGCGCTACTTGGATTTCGGTTCTTATCTCCGCCTTGAAGCTTCGTAGGTCCCTTGTCACCGCCGCTACCGTTCGCAGTTCCGCTTCTTCAATCTTTTTGTCTCTTCTGTCGCATTCCTCCAACATTCTTCGTTCAGTTTCAGCAAACATCCTTCGAATTCTCTCCTCTCGCCTTTTCTCTTCTAGTTACTGCCTTCTACGCTCAGCTTCCAACTTCGTCCTCTCCTCCTCTGCTTTCTTGTTTTGCTCTTCCTCCATTTCCTTCTGCATTATGTAGTCTGCCCATCTGACTACCTGGTTGATGTTGTCTTCGTTTTCCTTCCTCGATTGCCAATACTTCGTGTTGTTAGCAAGGGTTCCTTTGCGCATCGGGCAATCTCTTGCGATGTGACCTGCTTGGTTGTAATTAAAGCAAATGGTCGAGCTCCCTGCCCCGCCTGTTCCAAGGCCTGATGACGCCATGTTGTATACGTGATACCTTCGAGAGTTGCCGAGTATACCTACTCCCGTTCCCTTCTTCACGCGGTAACTCCGCTACTGCTTACTGTCGTTGCTATGGTAACTCTGCTGCTACCTCGTACCGCTGTCGCGAGTCTGCAACGCTTACTGCACCTCTGCAGCTAACTCATACTGCTGCCGCGAGTCCGTAACGCTTACTGTTCCTCCGAAACTGGTTGTCGACATAGCCACCAGTGTGAGTATCTCCTCTCATCCGGTTACCATGCTAGTCAGAATAGTGGAAACAGCGGCCAACTGCCTTTCGTACACGCTTCAAAAGCTCTTCAATACATAACCGCGCATACTCATCTCAGCTCACGCGCACATTCCCCGACGCGTTTCAATCGGCTGCGCTTCGATCATCCTCAGGGGGCTAACCACATACCCGAGCCTTTAGGCCCACCGAGCTTACCTCCCTTCATCCTGAGCATGGAGGACCGATACGGCCTTGCCCTCCTATATAGTGTCCAACGAACGAATAACTAAGTTACGCACGGTACTCTGTCTGCAACGGGTCTTACGACGACGGATCACGGCTACGATCTCTGTCGGGTAGATGTTGTGCAGAGCTACATCCTAATCCGTTACTTGTCGGCCCACCTATCAGGCAGTAGATAGCCAGTCTTCCTATGCTTGCGTTCATGGGCAATAGGTTTAACCTACATGTCGGCTATCGTTGCTTGTACTGCGTGTACAAGGTACTATGCAAACCAAGGGAACGTACCCATTCAGACAATCGTATTCTTGTCTCCAACTCCTATTGGATTAGAAAGTGCTACGTGGATCCGTGGCTTCGGCAGTCACTTCCACGCGGGACATACTGCACAAGTTCAAAATCGCCACGCAACATGATTTCCTGCCGACATCAGCATCCTATCCCCGACCTGTACTACCAGTCCCTATTGGACTATAACGCGCTGCGTGGATCCGCAGGCTGGGGCTAGTACGTGGCAAGGTCAGTCAGTTACACGCAGACCCTATGACCTGTACAAATTCAAAATGCCACGCTACCCGATTTCCCGCTCGGAATTAGGCGGATACCATACGGGAGCCTAAAACTAGATACTTTTGAAGAAAGAAGAAATAATTCCGTAGATAAGAAATAAATAATTCCGAAGGGAAATAAAATTCAGAAGAGAGAAATGAAGGAAATACGGGGAGAAGCGAGTCTAAAAAATTTGAAAAAGTGGGCTGCTATTTTTCAGGGGACTACCCAGCGTCTAATTACGGTAGCAACCTCACAAAATTTCTACCGTCCGCGCGGCGACTGAGGCCAGTGCTTACGACCCCTATTTCCACCAAGCAAATTTGGGCCGCGAACACTTATCCCAGTGAACCAGGTTCTCAAGCAGTCGTAGCCATGGTTCCTTGAGAGCACAGGTGCCCTTACCAAAACGCGCTAGGGTATTGAGGAAGAAAAAGAAGAAGAAGAAAAAGAAAAAGAAAAAGAAGAAGAAGAAGAAGAAAAAGAGGAAGAAGAAGAAAAAGAAGAAGAATAGTGGAAAAAGTGGCCAACTACCTTTCGCACACACTTCGATCGTTCATCAATTCATAACAGCGCATACTCATCTCAACACACGCGCACATTCCCCGACGCGTTTCGATCGGCTGCGCTCCGATTATCCTCAGGGGGCTTTCCACATACCCTCGCCTTACGGCCCACCGACTAGCCTCCCTAGCTTTTGAGAACTGAGGGCAGGTCAGGCCTTGCCCTCCTATATACTGTACACCAAGTAGGAAGCTATGCCAGCACGACACTTATTCCCTTACGGGCACTTCCAAGAGCGACTACGACTACGACGGACTGGAAACTAGTCGTTGCATCGAACCCGCGAAATTTCGTTACGTGTCGGCCCCTCAACGGGCGTCAGATAGTTAGTCCACGTAAGTCCTAGATTATTGACACGACGGCTATTATATCTACAAGCCCGCTTTCACCGCATGTTCACGTGTTCAAGTACTATGCAAGGGCTAGCTGCTCCTTTCCTCCGATAGTCCATCCAACGATCACATTCCTCTTCCAAACCTCTGTTCACTTTCTCGCTTTCCATTGGGCTGCTTCGTGCAGCTCGGATTTCGAGTACGATCCCTAAACTTGCCGCCCTTTAATGATTCTAATTTTCAATTGGTCTACGATTGCAATCACGGATCCCTGCTGTAATTCCTAATACGTGGCCCCGCAGCTTAGTCAGTTACAACGTGTCGAGCGTGACCTGTACAAGTTCAAAATTACGGCACGCTGTACGTCCTTTTCCCGCCCCTTTTTTTGAAAATCGAGCGGGCAGCCTGGTAGTACCGTAACCTAGATAGCTGCAAGCTATCGTGGTACTGGCACGTAATTTCCTACGTCCTAACGATGCAAATGCGCCGGTAGTCCCCCCTTTTTTTCAAAATTATTTGCGGACAAAAATTAATTTGCGAACACAAAATAATAAAATATCATTTGCGAATAAAAAAATCAGGCTACAAAAAATTCAAAAAAACTCTACATCGCAAATTAATTCCACCTGTACGAAGAAATCTTATTTGCTACGGAAATAACCGCCTACTGGCGAGTACCCTACCGTACCGTAACCGAGACTAATCCACTGTAAGTACGGCTCTATTCTAGCGCCGAGTCCGCCCCACGGGATTTGGCCGTGCGCTACTGTACCAGAGTACCAGGTTCTCAAGCAGCCTTAGCCAAGGCTCCCTGAGAACGCTGGTGCCCTTAGCAAAGCGTGCTAGGGCGCTGAAGAAGAACACCGGGGGGTAACCCCGGCGTAGGAGCTCGTATTTCAGAGCCAAAACTGGTAGGAGCAGGGCACTCTCGCTGTTTACCATCTGCTGAATGTGGTGCAAACAACCGATTATCACTCCCAGTTTCGCTCGCTTGTCCGAGTAAGAGCTAAAATCCTGAAAGCAGCGGTGGACGAGACGCTGCTGCACTTCCCCCATCTGAACACTCAAGACGTTCTTGGTGTTTGGTTCAAGCAGGAGCAAGGTCTTCCCAGGTACTGATGTGAGCTTCGATCCAACAAACTCGATGGTGTTAGATCCGTCATCCGTGCGGACCAGAGGTAGCTTATCACCATAGCAACTCCCAAACTTCGTTATTATCTCCACCGCCCTGGTGATGGACTCTTCCTTTCTTCGATTGCAGACAACTGCCAGCATCGCATCATCCATGAATCTCACCCCATGGACGAGTTTCTGATCGCTGCCCAGTGATCTTAGAAACCCGTCTTCATACCTTGCACAAAGTAGGCAAGCCAGCGGGGGACTGAAGTTCTTCCCCATTGGCACTCCTATGACCTGCCTCAACAACTTTCCTCTACACGTAGTGTAGGTGTGCTGCAGCTCGAAGGATCCAAAACTTCGGATGTAACTGAAGGACAACTTGACATGGCCTTTCCCGAACGTTTTCAACCCAAGCGTGACTTGCTTTCTTCTCTTGCAAACTGTGATCTTCTGGTATCCTTTCTTCTCCCATTCTCCCAGTAGCCATGAGAGTGCCTCCATGACGGCTGAGTGCGGGAGGGATGTGAACATTTCCTTAATGTCAACCCCCCCGCAGATAGTCATCGTGTCCTTGCCATACCGCTGAAGCTTCTTTTCTGCTTTCTTCAGATTCTGCTTAAGCAAGGCTGTCGCAGTGAGATTGAAATGCTCCGCTCCAGGGAGCTTCTCCAGCAGAAAATTGAGTGCTCTAGCAATCCTTCTGCTGCATGTCATAGTAAGTTCGCTGCATGCTGGAGCAATGGGCCTCCATCTTTCGAAATCTTTGTGCTTGGGCAGAACGTACGATTGACCAATCCTCCCCTTCGAGTTCCAGTTAACTAGCTTGTGCAGGCCAAGATCTACAAAGTCCTTCTTAATCACCTTCAGAGTCTCCGCTTCCGTGCTACTGACTTCATCATAAGCTATGCTCCAGGGGAACAGTTTATCCAGTCCATGCTGGTATGTCAAAGGACACATCAGCACAAGGTTTCCCGCATTCCTATCAACTTGCGTGATTAACAGGTCTCTGAACTTCTTTTTGACTCAGTAGACTAGCCCTTCGTCCGTGTCGCAGCGCTTGCTTTGCTCTGATGAAAAACAGCCATCGATTTGGAGATCATTAATTGCTCCCCCATTTTTTCGCCCAGTACAGCTGTGAGTGCCAGTCCTATGTTGTTGCTGACCTCATCTTCTATCCTCTCGAGCTTCGGGCGGACCACATTCTTCCCATTCAGCAACAGTGATTGCAGCTCCGTGACATCTGCTATCCTTGTGAGGACGTGTCCCTTGACAATGGGTAAGTCATACTGCTTGCAAGTACATTGCAACTCCGGCTTCTTGCTAAGCTGCTTGTAGTTGCAGAGAATCTCTGCTACATTTTTGTTCCTTCTCCAGACTACTCTCGCCTTCTTTTTTAATATCCCCGCGATCGCGGGGTGTAAACCACAACTCTCGATCTGGGTGATCAAGACGTTCCTGATGCCACTCTTCTTAACTTCTTTATTGTATCTGACCCGAACTGTAATCGCTTCCGAATGTTCACCCCCGCTTTTCTGCCAACTACTTTTCCTAGGAAGTCCTTGATCATCCTCCTCTTTTCCTTCTCCTTAAATGCCCCAGCGTAGTTATAGAGGTGTGTGAGTTTATCCACAGACAAAAGGGCAAGTTCCTTCCGTTTGAAGGGCATCTCTAGGAGCTGCCGTAGGTACCCTTTCCCTCTGTCCCTGATATTCTGCGTGATAACGATGGGGGAAATCCAAAATTTCCCCCCTTCCTCTAGCCAGGTTTTCGAGTGGGACAATGCTATCTTCCCCAGCTGCGCTACCACGGTCGATGTCCCGAACAGTCTCTTAATTAACGACCAGTCTTCCCCCCAGACTTTGCCACCCTCGCTGACAACCTGGATCTGTTTCTTCCCCTCCCTATAAGCTGCATCAAGAATCATCTAGAGGCTAGTGCTACCAAGCGTACTACTACTCGTTCAGAAAATGATAATATGTGTCCGCTTCTCCCCTACCTGCTCCTTGTCTCTGCCTATCCTCACTCTCCTTTCCCTCCTCCCTAGCCTTTTCTTAGGATTCCCCTTCGTCCCCGTACCGATCGTGTTAAGTGACGGAGAGAAGCTTCGGATGAGCATTTTTTCTAGGCTCCCCAGCCCACTGACTTCCGAGGTAGCGATGGAAATAACGACATAGTTATTCCAGTCAAATTTCCTGAGCCATTTATACAGCACATGCGATCTACCGTTTGTCCCTGATCGACGCATCTAACATGCTCCCACCATCTTTCCGCAACACCTCTAATGGACCTACCGATGTAAGCTTTCTTACACCAGGGCGAGATGAGACAGTATACGACTGGTTGCTTGAAGTCACACCAGCTCCAGCACCGTGGTGCTAGGTTCAGGAACTTCTTTACCCACGGGATATGGCCCATTATTTCCAGCAGCACCGTACAAGCAGTTGAAGCTTTCTCAGTTAACAGCTTGAGCTTCGAAATTCCCGTGTGCCCCCAGATTGTCGCCCTCAACGATAAGAGGGTGACAATGTAAGCCCATAGGAGCTTTGGCGGAGGCGCAAACCGTCATTGGTCCTGAATGTCTTCACGTTCCCAAGCCTCGTCCAACAGCTCGACGTCTTCGCCCCATGCTGCTCTGTTGAGCAGCTCACGTACACCTTGCTCTTTAGAGATATAGGTAATATCTCTCACCTCGCAAAGTTTTTTCACTTCTGGCCATTCCTTCACCATCAGCTTGGACCTAGTATCTAGGATATTAGTCACCATGTTCCCCTTATTGCACGATGCTGGGTTCTCTTTCCCTGCGGATCGGTTCTTCATTGGCGTGCTGGTCGTCCTTCTCAGGCTCTTCTCGTAGTCTGCTCTTGACATGACTCGTGCTTCTTCTTCCCAGTCGTCCGGTGCTGCGTAATTCTTCGCTTTTCGCTTCCCTCTTGTTCTCTTCGGTGGTATTTTCGATCCATCATCCGTCAGGACCTCTTCCTCTGTAAGGTAAGTATCGAGTCCCTTCGCAAATGCCTCTCTATCCCGTTTCAGGGTCTTGGAGTTTACATCTAATGCCATCTGGATTTTCGTTCTTATTTCCGCTCAGAAGTTCCGTAGGCCCCTTGATACTGCAGCAATCATTCTCAGCTCCGCCTCCTCAATTTTCCTATCTCTCCAGTCACACTCCTCCAGCATCATCCTTCGAATCTTCTCATCCCGCCTCTCCTCTTCCATTTGTTGCTTTCTGCGTTCAGCTTCCATCCTTTTTCTCTCCTCCACCGCCTTCATGTTCTCCTCTTTCTCCATTTCCTTCTGCATCTTGTAATCTGCCCATCTCACCACTCGGTTTATACTAACTTCATTCTCCTTCCTTGATTGATAGTACTTCGCATTGTTAGCGAAGGCACCTTGCCTCCTGCCCACTGGGCAGTCTCTCGCTATGTGGCCAGCTTGGTTGCAATTGAAGCAAATGATCGAACTACTTGCTCTGCCTGCTCCGGTCCTTGCGTTGCCCAACGACGCCATGCTAATACTGCCCGAAGTACAGTGGTTGGTACTCTCGGATCTCCCTTAGTACCTGCAACTCCACAGACGCTTGCCACTGAGGGGCCTTGGCGCACCTATCTCACTGTAACCCTTGCCTTGTCGTTGCCTGCAACCTTGTTAGAACAAGCTCGTGAAAACCTTGCGCGGTAAACGAGTCGTCGACACAGCCGCCAGTGTGAGTATCTCCTCTCATCCGGTTACCATGCTACACAGAATAGTGGAAACAGTGGCCAACTGCCTTTCGCACATGCTTCGATTGTTCATCAATACATAACAGCGCATACTCATCTCAGCACACGCGCACATTCCCCGATGTGTTTCGATCGGCTGCGCTCCGATCATCCTCAGGGGGCTTTCCACATACCCTCGCCTTACAGCCCACCGACTATCCTCCCTAGCTTCTGAGAACTGAGGGCCGATCAGGCCTTGCCCTCCTATATATTGTACACCAAGTAGGAAGCTACGCCAGCACGACACTTATTCCCTGACGGGCACTTCCACGAGCGACTACGGCTACGACAGACTGGAAACTAGTCGTTGCATCAAACCCGCGAAATTTCGTTACGTGTCGGCCCCTCAACGGGCGTCAGATAGTCAGTCCACGTAAGTCCTAGATTATTGACACGACGACTATATCTACAAGCCCGCTTTCACCGCATGTTCACGTGTTTAAGTACTATGCAAGGGCTAGCTGCTCCTTTCCTCTGATAGTCCATCCAACGATCACATTCCTCTTTCAAACCTCTATTCACTTTCTCGCTTTCCATTGGGCTGCTTCGTGCAACTTGGATTCCGACTACTATCCCTAAACTTGCCGCCCTTTAATGATTCTAATTTTCCATTGGTCTACGTTTGCAATCGCGGATCGTTGCTGTAATTCCTAATACGTGGCCCCACAGCCTAGTCAGTTACAACGTGTCGAGCGTGACTTGTACAAGTTCAAAATTACGGCACGCTGTACGTCCTTTTCCCGCCCCTTTCTTTAAAAATCGAGCGGGTAGCCCGGTAGTACTGTAACCTAGATAGCTGCAAGCTATCGTGGTACTGCCACGTAATTTCCTACGTCCTAACGATGCAAATGCGCCGGTAGTCCCCCCTTTTTTTCAAAATTATTTGCGGACAAAAATTAATTTGCAAACACAAAATATCATTTGCGAATGAAAAAATCAGGCTACAAAAAATTCAAAAAAACTCCGCATCGCAAATTAATTCCACCAGTACAAAGAAATCCTGTTTGCTACGGAAATAATCGCGTACTGGCGAGTACCCTGCCGTACCGTAACCCGGACTAATCCACCGTACGTACGGCTCCATTCGAGCGCCGAGTCCACCCCACGGGATTTGGTCGTGCGCTACTGTCCCATAGTACCAGGTTCTCAAGCAGCCTTAGCAAAGGCTCCCTGAGAACGCTGGTGCCCTTAGCAAAGCGTGCTAGGGCGCTGAAGAAGAATAACAAATCAGTAATGGCGAGGCCAATCACCACGCGTCCACGCTTACGAGTATTCAACAATCTGCATGGACATTAAAGCTCACAAACGCGCACATTCCTCGACGCGTTTCGCCTGGCTGCGCTCCAGGGCTTATCAAAGGGCAAACCGCACTCCCGCATCCACCTGTCTATCCGCCTGAGTTCTGAGGGCCGTTCTGGCCTTGCCCTCTACGTATACTGTACTCGTGCCAGTCTGCACGGTCCTCGTGTGTCCAACAACCCGGCGTAGGCACTCCCCTCATTCAGCGAAACAGAACGGGCTTGCCTTCACAGTCTTCCGCCAGGAGCCTCACGTGTGCGCCTATGCTGCGCCCGGTATGCCCGTTGAGCACGTGTACCGGTTCCCGGGGAAGTTTTTATATATGCTAAACAGCCCTACAGGGCATGATGTCGTCCAGGTACATCCCGTTCGTTTTTCTCTTTTCCGATTCCTGTCGGGTGCGCGCGCCTACCCGGCTTTTTTCTCTCCCCTCTCTTGCCTCTCAACCGGCCTGCTATCGGCTACCCATGTGTACTATCTAATAGTTGTTGCTGCTAACCCCCTTACCCGGTAATCGTCTCTGCTATTATTTTCCTGCTGTCTATTAACCCAGTCCCGGTCCTATAACACTGTGTCTACTGTTAATTCCAGCCACATCCCTACTATGGTACGTAAATTACAGTCCAGTATCCTATTGCTAATTCTACACATGTCCCTGCAATTGTACATAATATACAACCCGGTCCCATGTACCAGGGCGTTCCCGGCTCCCGTCGTGTTTCTTGCAGGTCACACCCTTCCCGGACTGCTGCTCCGTTTTCCCTCATGCCGGTCTACGTCTTGCGAACTGAACCAGTCCTTCAGCGAGCATCTGCCATGCTTCGCTGAAGGTGCTGGTAACCCTAGCAAACTTTGCTAGAGTGTGGAAGAAGAGCGTCAGGGGGTATTCCCTGCGCCTGAGTTCAAAACTCATATCTAAAACTGGGGTGATGATCATCAAAGGTTCACTAGCATGACGCTGGATTCTGTGAAAAGCCGCTGTAATAGCACCCGCTTTCACTCTCTTTGTGGAATACGAGTTATAGTCTTGGAAAAAGCGGTAGATGAGCTCCCCGCTCTTGATGCACTTGTGATTTTTGTTCTTCGGGCGAATGAGGAACCGGATGGGACACGGCAGTGCTGTGATTCTCATGCCCAGAAAATCCCAAGATTTAGAACCATCGTCCGTGCAGACCAGGAATAACTGCTCTCCATACGCCTTCGCGAACCGTTGCTTAATCTCCCTCCCTCTCGCTATGCTGCTCGGATCCGACAAGTCGCATTTGACCACCAGTGTAACGTCATCCACCAACCTTACTCCATGTACCAACTTCTGGTCATTACCCAATGACTCGAGGAATTATGCCTCGTATTTTGCACATAGTATGCAGGCAAGCGGGGGGCTGGAATTCTTACCCATGGGAATCCCTATCACCTGCCTTAGGATCTTCCCTTTGCTCATCACATAGGTGTTATCAAGCTTGAAACTGACCAGCCGTCTGATCGTGGTGAACTTCAGATCGACGTAACCTGGTCCCGAGCTCTTCTTATTAAGGACAACAACCTTCCCTCTTCGGCTGAGGCTAACTCTTGCCACGTCCTTGTCTTCCCACTGACACAGTAGCCAGTCAACCACTTGGATGATTGCTGGGTGCGGCAAGGAGGTAAACATCTCTTTAATGTCGTAGCTTGCTGCCATCGAAAAACCATACTCGCTCTTTCTCTTCCCCACCTCGCTTGAACCCCCGAGGTTACCAACAAGTAGTGAGGTAGCCTTCAGGTTAAAATGCCTGACCCCTGGCGCTTTCTCCAGCAGAAAATTCAGCGCCCTGGCTAACCTTCTGCTGGTTGTCTTCGTCCCATCTGTGCATGCTGGTGCGATCGGTCTCCACCGACCGAGGTCCTTGTTCTTCGGTAGGACATACGCTTGCCCAATCTTTGCTGCAGGATTCCATGCTCCAATCTTCTCCAGCTGACCTTCTTTTTAGCCTCTCCTGATCTGGGCTAACACCTCCTTCTCTCCCCTGTCAGCTACTTCCTCATATGCCACATTCATTGGAAACATCTTCTGCAGTCTGTGGTGATAAGTGGTTGGGCACATGATCACCATGTCACCAGAATTCCTATCCACGGGCACTGTCACCAGGTGTTTCAGTTTCCTTGCTACCGCCAGTGCTTCATCCTCAGTGCTTGCTGTGCTCTTCAACCCTTCCAGACCGATACAACCTTCAAAAATTGCTTCCCGCATATATGGTAAGTCTTCTCTCCTCATTACGCCCTTAAACGCCAGTTCGACTTCTCTCCGCAGTGTCCCCCGATACGCATTGGCGGTATTCTGCAAAATGTTCTTCCCGTTACAGAGGAAGCTCGGTAGCTTGGGGCACTGCGTAATCTTGAGCAATACGTGGCCCCCTTCCCTTGGCAATGTTTCTTCTTTACATGTGCAGGAGACCACTGGTTCTCTTGCTGACAAGCGGTGGTTGGTAAGCACCTCTTGGACATTCCTGTTGCGTCCCCACACAACTCTGATCCGCTGCCTCAATACCGTTTTCAGCACCGGGTGTATCCTGCTGCTCCCAACCGTCGTTGCAATTGTCTCTCTTATCCTCCTCTTCCTTATCACATGGCTGTAAGTGATCTTCACATTCAGCTTCTTCTTAACCTCCACCCCTGTCTTCTTCCGTATGATGTCCGCAATCATCTCTTTCAATGTCCTCCTCGTCGTCTTGGTCTTGAACTCCCGTGCACTGCGGTATAAGAAAACCAGCTTTGGAATATCAAAGCTCTTAAGTTTTGCTCTTCTTCTGGGCATTTCCAATAACTGCCTCAGGTAACCTTTGCCCCTCAGTCGTGCATTCTCCGTTTTTTCCACCGGCGCAAGCCGGAACAGGCCACCTTCCTCTATGATGCGCTTCGCTTTCACGAGAGGGAACTTCCCAGCAGCATTCCTCAATGTAGACGTACCATACACCCTCTTGATAATTGACCACTTTTCACCCCAAACTTGACCCCCTGATCAGTAAAGACAATGAGTAGGCCTCTCCGTTTGACCGGACCCAACCCCTTCATTTTCTCCCTCTCTTTTCGTCATAACCTACTCCTGTGGCTAAGAATAGGACCAAATACTTGCCCCAGCCGAACCTCTTAAGAAAAGCATACAGCCTCGGGGCATGCCCTTTGTTCCTTGTTTCTGCACACCGTATGTGCTCCCACCACCGCTCCCCTGCACCTCGTACAGTCTGTCCTACATACAACCTCTTACACCATGGTGACACCAGGCAGTACACTATCGGTCCACTCAAATCAAAAAAGTCATGATCTTTAGGTACAAGTAGGAGAAGCTTCAGAGCCCAAGGGATCTGCCCCGCAAGTGTTAGGAGCAGGAACACAGCGATGATCGCCTGCTCAATCGTGATCTTAAACCTGGTCATGCCATAGTTCCCCCAGAGTGCATCTCTCAGCCCCATGAATAAAAGCATCCTGGCCCAGAGCTGCTTCGCTGGGGGTGGACACCGTCATTTTTTCGGTACTGCCGCTTCCACACCCGATGAGCCATCTTCTCTCTTGTTTCCTCCACTGTCTGCGCCATCTAACCAACCTTCGTACGCTAGCCTGGTTTCTAACGCCACTAGCTCCTTAACTGCCAGGCCCTTAACAATAAACTTAATGTTCTTACTCCTGCACATCTGCTTCAACTCTGGGACTTTCTTCGCTTGCAAGCTCTCCTTCAGTTCGAGCACAAAGTCTATGACACTCGGTTTCGAACAAGATGCCACGGCGCCTTTCTTCCGCTCTTCGTCTTCTCTAGCAGGCGCTTTCCCTCGTGTCACTGTTGTTCTCTTCCTCGTCACCGGTGGGTTGATACAGCCTGTCTGGTCCACTGGCTGCAACACTTCATCGTCCAACACCAATCTTCTCTTCAAACCAGGGGTGATCACGGTCCGTGGTCCACATCTCTCCTTAGGAGCGGAGTCTTGCATGTATCGCTGCAGTTCACTACGCAAAACCACATCTCTCGGGTCTGGGGTCGGGAATCTGGCATCGATCGTCGACTGTACGTGCCCTTTAATCCGTTCTTCAAGCTGCTGCAGCTGCCTATTGAATGCTTGGGCCGCTCTTGCATCTATCAACTCTTCAGTCCTCCTCCGTTTTGTCTCTTCCCTTTGCTTGGCTTCATCAAGTTTCCTCTTCTCCTCTTCAAGAAGCTTCTTTTCTAGCTCCGCTTTCCGTAGCTCCTCCTTCTCCTGGTGCTGACTCTCGACAAAGGCGAACAATTTACTAATCCTATCGTCGGGGTCTTCCTTCCTCGGCCAGCTCCCTGGGGTACGCCCTCCTCCATAAAGAGTGTTCTGCCCGTACCCGCCGTTACCTGCAGGAGCTTGCATCTGACTATTCTGCTGCTGCACCCCTCCCCAAGCCCTCCCGTACCTCTTGTTCGGGCAGTCTCTTGCGAAGTGCCCGTACTCACCGCATGTGTAACACTCCCCACCTTGTGGTTTCAGCGGTAGAGCTAAGGCGGGTGTGGTCAGAGCGGGTGGAGGGGGTGGGGGTGGAAGAGGTGTCTGGCTTGGTTGCTGTGCATAAGCTCCTAGAAAAGCTGCGTAACCAGAGTATTGGGCCATTCTAACTGTGGGGTCTGGTGTCTCTTAACTACTTGTTAGCTTGGGGCGACTGCTGCCTTACCCAGAACTACCCCGTACCCTCTTGCTTCCTTTCAACCCACTCCCACGCTCCACACTTGTCCTACTGGTTCGCAATCCCAAAATCAGTATGGATGGAGCACTACAGAAATAAATCTATACACATAGATACATATGACTTTCTCGGGTATGGGCTGTACCACTACGGGTCGGAGCTTCACCTCCGCTGGCAGGCACTGCTCCGGTATATATATATATATATATGTGTCTTTTATATATATATATATATATATATATATATATATATATATATATGACGATATAAGAATGTGCACGACGCGCCTCAAGTACTCTAAATATTTTCGTGAAACTGCCCAAAACGAACCGAGCAAATAACGATGATCGACTACCAACCCCCCGAAGCAATTATACGAGGGGAACAAGAAAAAACCGCTATCGGGGCCGTTCTGCCTCCTTGCCAGTTAACTTTGCTCAATAACTTGTCACGTTACAACCTACAGGAGAAACGAATCCAATGTTGAGAAATGAGCAAAAGGACAACAACTACCCTTCCTGGTCGTTCCGCCTACACTACCTTTTTCGGAGGAGAGGAGGAGAGAGGAGAGGAGAGGAGAGGAGGAGAGAGGAGAGGAGAGGAGAGGAGAGAGAGAGAGAGCGAGGAGAGAGGAGAGAGAAGAGAGGAGGAGGAGGAGGAGGAGGAGGAGGAGGAGAGGAGAGGAGAGAAGAGGAGAGGAGAGGAGAGGAGAGGAGAGGAGAGGAGAGGAGAGTAAGGACGGAAGAGAGTAAGGTCGAAATAACCGCATACTGGCGAGTACCCTACCGTACCGTAACCCGGACTAATCCCCCGTACGTACGGCTCCATTCTAGCGCCGAGTCCACCCCACGGGATTTGGCCATGCGCTACTGTCCCATAGTACCAGGTTCTCAAGCAGCCTTAGCCAAGGCTCCCTGAGAACGCTGGTGCCCTTAGCAAAGCGTGCTAGGGCGCTGAAGAAGAAGAACAAGAACAAGAAGAAAACCAAGAAGAAGAAGAAGAAGAAAACGAAGAAAAAACTGGTCGGAGAGGGTAGGAGAGGGGTTGGGGTTGGGGGAAGAGGAGGCTGCTGCTGACATGACAGCGCTGCTGCCATGTCATCAACATGATCATCATGTTCATGTGAAAAAGAAGAAGAAAAACAAAAAGTTGACGTTTCAAAATGTGTCAGTTTTTCTTTTCCTTTCTTTTCACATGATCATTATGATCATGCCGCTGACATGGCCAACGTCGACAGCCCCCCCCCCCCCCCCCCCCCCCCCCCCCCCCCCTCTCTCTCTCTCTCTCTCTCTCTCTCTCTCTCTCTCTCTCTCTCTCTCTCTCTCTCTCGGGGCCCTAGCGAGGTTCGCTAGGTTGTCCGGAAGTCTGTGGGCGCTTTATCTCCTCGCTAAGTACCCTGGACTGATCAGGTGCATAGCTCCGAGGGGGGTGTAAAAGTAGGACCGTGATGAGCTGTGTCATTCTAATAGTTTTTTCCCTATGATATATGCGGTCAGAATGTAGCTTTAGATGTATCAGTGAATGTTTTCCCTTCGTAATGGTAGGATGAACTAGAATTCCGAAATCGAACGGGCCAAATAACCTGTTTTGCTTTAGGGGAACGCCGTCTTGAGGAGAAATATTGACGGTTACGAATCGGAATGAGCGTAAAGAAAGTAGAGGCGTAGAGTAGTGGGTTTCTTCTGGTTTATCCCGGGTACACCGTCACCCACAGAGGTAATGGGGGAGGGGATGCACAGGGTCGGGTGAGCGAAGGGTGGGCAAGCAGGGGACAGGTGCGAGGAAGGAGAGTTGCAGTCAGGGATGGTAGTGCCATGTCCAAGTATGGAAAGTCTGAGAATGGAAGGTGGGACCAAAAAATGGTATTCATATAAGAAGGAAAGGCAGGCGCAGCGATGACGAAGATAGCACGCGAAGGTTTCAGGAGGGAGGACGCTTTGGATAAAGGAAGGGTGGACGCATTGCGGGACTGGCTGGGCAGACAGGGTATTGAGAGCGATGATGATTGGTAAGGTAACGACCAAGTACAAGGAGGAGTTCAAGCGAATGGGGAGGAGTGCGGGAGGAAGAAGGAGGGAGAGGGAGAGGAAGTCCGATGAGTGGGAAAAAAAAGAGAAAGAAGGAAAGGAAGAGGAAGGGAAAAAATGGAGGGAAGGAAAGTGAAGGAAATAAGGGAAAAAGAAAAAAAGGGTGTGGAGGCGGGAATTCTAGCGTTTGATTAGGGCCTCATTCCACTACCTTCGACTTGAAAAAAATCTCAAGGGAAGCCCTACGAGCGCCCTTGAGTCAAAACGTAATTAAAAAGTACTAGAGGTCGTCGGCGTTCCACTACACCCTGCAGTTCCCGCTCCCAAAAGGAGCGGGAAAATGTGCACCCCTGTCTGTCACGGAATTTTCACAACCCAGGTCCATCCCTGGGCCCCGATAACCGCGATTGGCAAAAAAAAAAAAAAAAAAGGACCGGACGGGGGGGCTAAACTGCTGCCTGGCGACGCATATTGCCACCGTTTCCAAGAAATTTCAAGTCACCTCCGGGAGGTGACTTGAAAATTGGCCGAAGTTGCCTCGGCACCCTACGACCGCCCTCGAGTTTCAGAGCGGGATTCTGTTGAGGCGAGAAGGTTAATCACTTTCCAATCGTGATTAACACATCTCAAGGGCCTAGTAGAACGGCGCCGCCCTTGAGATTTTTTCAAGTCGAGGGTAGTGGAACGAGGCCCTTAGACAATTTCTGGGTTAAAGGTAGGAGGAATGCAGTACTTGGATGACGAGATGTTTTGGACTTGAAGAAAGTAGGACTGTAGGAGTAGGACGCGCATGAGGAGTATATAAGAGGTTGGATTCCAATATGAGCGGAGGAGTAGAGAAAATTGCCCCCTTATGAGTCCGTTGAGTACGCCATCGGTGAAATGCGTAGGGGCACATGAGTACTTTGGATGTATTTGGTTTGTCTAACGAGGAAGAAAATCGGGATACACGTGCGTTAGAGTTTGGTGTGAGGTGGTGTGTTTCTCGTATTCACTCCTCATTTTTTTATCTCTATTCTATGTAAACATGGTAGCTGGCCGTGGTTGACATGTCGTGGTGGCTACGGTGCAGGCTTTGCCTGGTTTCATGGCTGAAGGACTTGGAGCGTGAGCTTAACTTCACAAGGAGGGTGAGTGTGATTGACTCCATCTCTCGTGTGTATGCACAATGAGAGCAGGGCGGATATGGTGAATTGGGGATCTGCTTACGTAAAGAGGGTGGACGTTCGTGGCCTTTTGGTGTTGATTAGTGTGTTTGGGGCCTCGACCATTCGCGAGTTTGTGAGGAAAAATAGCGGTGGGGAGTGGATTTTTGAAGTGCACATCCGTATTACCTGTAGAAGAAATTAGGGGGATGACCGACCGTAATCTTAGGGACACTAAGTTTTATAGATTGTGGCAGGATTTGGAAAACCTACTCTACGATAAGGTTATTCCGCTGATCTTTGTGGCGCTAGAGTTCAGTGGCGATAGTACTGAGGAGCTGGTTAGTGTGTTTGGGAGGTTTTGGGGGAGACTTCATAGTGTCGGTTGTGCCGTGAGGGATAGGAAGGGAAGAAGGAGTAGACAATCGAGGARGAGGACAGAGTGGTAGGAAGGATGCAAAACCCAGGAGTTCCACATATACAGGGCTATGGGAATGGGGTACCTAGTGGTGGAGGAAACCAACCGAGCGTCGTCTCTTGTTATTTGTGCCGGAAGATCAGACATTACGCCCAAAACTGCTGGACAACATGGAATAGGAGATCTTTGATCTCAAGACAACTTGTTCGGTCGGAGGTTATGATGGATGATGAAACAAAGGAAATGTGAGAATATTTTCTGGAAAAGATTAGGAAGAGGAAACTTGACCATGAGAGGAGGGACATGGAGGAAAAAGAAACACGCCGAAAGGAGGAAGAGGATCGAAAGAAGCAGGAAAGGTTGAGGGAGGTAGATACAAGGGAGACGAGATTAGAGGCTCGATTAGGGGGGCTACTAACTCGGCATATGAAGGTGAGTGTGAAATCAGAGAGTTCTGGTGTGAAAACGAAGTTGCCAAAGACCAAGGCAAGGGTATTACGTGAGATAATAAGTTATTTCGACGAATCGAAGGACGACAGCGAAGAAGTGAAGGAGGAGGGAGGGAAACTCATTGAAGCAATTGAGAGGAGGAAGGGCAAGAGGGGGATTACTCAGGAGGAGGGGAGGGTGTCGAGGATCAAGAGAAGGGGGCACAAAGTTTATCCTATTAGGATCGATGATGATGAAGAACGAACAACTCCGCCAACAACGACAGGAAATGACGAAGACCTGGCGAATCTTGGAGTTCTTGACTTCGATATTGAACTACACAAGCATCTATCCGAGAAAAAGGTGTTGGAACTGCGGAAGTTGTGCAATAGTGAAGGTATCGAGTGGTCAAAGAAAGATGCCATCGGCGAGCTGGTAAAGTGAAAGGGGCTGGCCTACGGGGAGTTTGTCGAAAGTGGCCGCATCTCACCTTTGTTTGAGAAATAACGAATGTAAGTATGGATTTGTTGAAAAGGGAAATGATGGCAAGAGAGGAAATGGTGAATGGTAGGCGGAAGGGACTTAGAGCTCATGGTGAGGATCGGATCTTCGGATTATTCCTACTTTGTGCTATTAGAGGAGAATGTTTGTGGGCACGGAAGTGGGTTGGGTTGGTGAGCGGCGATCCAGGGTACTTATCGACAGAAAACCCAATAATATATGCTTTGGTTAGTCCCTGGTGCCGCCATTTTTATATTGGCTGCAATGCACCGACAGTGATAACAAGATGGTCGGATCATGTGAAACAGGTAATCTGCGACGACCTGGGGAACGCTCCTAAACTACACACTTGGTTGCGGATCTTTGGATGGGAGAGCGATTTGCATGGTAAGTGGAATTGAGGATCTGGGTATGGTTGAGTTGGCATTGATAAAAACGTTCTCACGATCGTTGAGTACTCAACGCGAGGGCAAGGAAGGAAGGAGGGTGTGGAGGAGGTGAGGGAAAAGAGAAATGGGGAAGAGGAAGTTGAATGTGTTAGAGGGAGGGATGATTAAGTTCAACGGTCGCACGTCAATTATTAATCTGTTGAAAGAGATGAATGGGAGGGAGGGTCGTCAACACATCTCATCGATTGGAGGATGGTTTGGGTAGATACATGGAAGGTGGTACGAGGGAAAGTAAGAAAGACTACACTGTTGGTAGGTAGGGACGAGAAGCCAATCAAGGACTGCAAACGGATGTTGGAAAAGGGAGGATAAGTATTATACCTTCACGCACCGAACATCGGAAGTATGTGTTGAGGGATGTTCTTAGGCAGCCATGGAGGGTGCGTGACCTGTATAGGAAGAGTTATGAGAAACTAGTAGCGTTATATAGGACATCAGCGTTGTTCATAGGGAAAAAGATCGTTGAACATGATAAAATGCATCCAAACCAGTGTGGTGAAGGGAAAGTACGGGAGCAAGATAAGGAAAAGATCATGTGTGGAGGTCCCTTTTTCACCAGAACTGAAGTTGGGAGTCGTCAGAGCAGTGGCGGCACAGCCAGTCATCCGAGCTATCGCGGATCCGGATATTGCAAGGTTTGTGGCGACAAGGGTAACGGTCATGGTAAGAAGGAGACTTACCATTGGTATGATTATCCACAATCAGTGGAGATGTGTCGAGGCTGGCATTGCCTTATGTACCTGCGATGGATTTCGCCTTTCGAGAAGCGAAATTTATGTCAACTTTGTCAAGGCACGGTTGTGTGATGTCGAAGGTATTCCTAGGTTCATGTGGAAAGCGAAGAATGTCACAAGCGGGTGTGTTATCACTCCGGATGTATTGGAAACAAGCATCAGGGAAGGTGTGATTGGATGGTCAAAAGGTAGGGCCATTTATGTGCCTCGCGAAGACATCGGGAAGTGCTATGGAAGGAGCGACATGGCTGAGATGGCGATGACTACGAATGAAGTTATAGTAATCTGGTAGTCGTTCCGATTGATCGAAATCCAGGAGCTACAATTCTTTTATGCCCATTGTTGTATCTCCGGGCATGCAAGGAAACCTTCAACTGGAATCAGAGTTTTCGAGTAGTACATGAATCAGAGAGTCGGGTTCTGATCAGGATGAAGAGGGAATATTTGGAAAAGGGTTTGAACAAGGTGGCCAGGTGGCAGACAGGAGGGAAGATCGGTCAAGCATATGTTCTACCCAAAGAGAAGGATTTGGGAAGATGACGACCAATTTCTCCGAGCACCACCGATCCAACAAGAGTGGAAGGAGCCAAAGTAGGGAGGGCAATCATGTACATGCTCTTTGGTGTAAAAAGGACTAAACATTTTGACCTTAAATCTATGGATGAGTTGAGAAAGCAATGTGAGGAGATTCAACAAGATTTGTGTCCGAAAGGGGACGAGGTTCTCGCGAGAAGTTATGATATCAAGGATATGTTTGCACAACTCTCACACAAGAGTGTCTTGGAAGCAGTTGATTGGGTGATAATGTGGCATGAGAGGAGGGGAATGAGAGGTTTACGGGTTAGTCAGAGAGGGAAGCTTTGTGCGATGGTTAAGAGAGTACGGAAGGAGGAGGGTATTGTCATCCTTTTGTTTGATGATATTAGAAGGGAAGTGGCATTTGAACTGTCCCGATCATATGTTCGATGCATGTTTTCTTTGCTGATGCAAGAATTTGAAATTCCCATGGGCCGGAATTCCAGTCCAGCGTTGGCGTGCTTGGTGTGCATAAGGGATGAATCAGCCTTTTTAGAGCGGATGACAGGGTTGGGGGCAGTCGCAAGAGGGATAAGGATGATTGATGATGTGGAAGTTTTGGTTGGATTTATGATGAGTGGACGAGATACGATTGAGAGGGTGGTAATGGCGCTGGACGAATTCAAGAACTGCTACGACGGATATTTGAAACTTGTCCAGAAGGATGATGGAGGGAATGTTTTCGACTTCTTAGGTGCTCGGATCTTTGTTGAGTTTAGGCTCAAGAGGATCGATGTACATCCCAAGGCAAAGAACCAACAATGTTTGCTTGAGAAAGGGAAGTTAAGGATACAATCCATGCAGGATTTTACTTCGTTTACGAGGAAGGCGTCAAAGAATGCGACTGTGTATGTTCTGCTGATCAGGATGAATCGCATCTCAAGCTCTGACAAAGCGATGAAGCTGCGATTGCAGCTCTGATGATGGAAACATGCCTTCGGGGGTATCCCCCGAGGGTCTCTCTAGGGGCCCTAGCGAGGTTCGCTAGGTTGTCCGGAGGTCTGTGGGGGGGGTTATCTTCCCGTTGAGTACCCTGGACTGATCAGGTTCACGGCTCCGAGCAGGGTGTAAAAGTAGGCCCGTGACGGACTGTGTAATTCTAATAGTTTTTTCCATGTGATGTATGTGGTCGGAATGTAGCCTTAGATGTATCAGTGAATGATTACCTTTCTTAATGGTAGGATGAATGAGGATTCTGAGATCGAACGGGCCAAATAACACGTTTTGCTTAAGGAGAACGTCGTCTTGAGAAGAAATATCGACAGTCATATGATGAGCGCAAAGAAAGTAGAGGCGTGGAGTAGTGGGTTTCTTTTGGTTTATTCTAGGTAAACCGTCACACACGGAGGTAGAGTCATGTCCAAGTATGGAAAGTTTGAGAATGGAAGGTGGGAGCAAAAAATGGTATGCATATAAGAAGGAAAGGCAGGCGCAGCGACGACGAAGACAGTTGGCGAAGGTTTCAGGAGGGAGGACACTTTAGACAAAGGAAGGGCGGACACACTGTGGGACTGGTCGGACATACTGGGTACAAAGAGCGATGATGATCGGTAAGGAAAAGACCAAGTACGGGGATGAGTTCAAGCGGATGGGGAGAAATGCGGGGGGAAGAAGGAGGGAGAGAGTGTGAGGAAGTTGGATGAGCGGGGAAAAAAGAGAAAGAGGGAAAGGAAGAGGAAGGGAAAAAATGGAGGGACAGAAAGCGAAGGAAATAAGGGAAAAAAAAAAGGGTGTGGACTTGGGAATTCTAGCGCCTGATTGGACAACTTACGAGTTAAAGGTAGGATGAATGCAGTACTTGGATGACGAGATGTTTTGGACTTGAAGAAAGTTGGATCGTATGAGTAGGACGCCCATGAAGAGTATATAAGAGGGAAAGGATGCCGCACAAGGTATCTTGGTTCCAATATGATCGGAGGACCAAAGAAGATCGCCCCCTGATGAGTCTGTTGATTACGCCAGCAGTGAAATGTGTAGGGGCACACGCGTACTTTGGATGTATTTGGTTTATCTAACGAGGAAAAAAATTGGGATACACGTGAGTTTGATGTGAGGAGGTGCATTTCTACTATTTACTTCTCATTTTTTTGCAGATATCAACCATGTAGCGCTCAACACCCAGACTACTATTCGACAACTTCTTTATTAGGAATGAAATGACAAGCAACTTGTTGACGTCAGCAACAACAATTGAAGTACATGCAGATGTAAACCATGTAGAGCATCGCCAAGACCAGGTACGTGCTCTCACATCAACTCCTTCATCTCTCTCTCTCAATCTCAATCGTCTTCTTGACCCACGTCTTCCCTTCACACAAAGACTACCACCAGACCCCGCTGATCTCGTCCAAGCCAAGCTCAGCTATGGAGGGCTTGGCTACGGCGGTGCCTGGTTGCAGCACCGTGCCTTCTGCCCACACCTGCATACAATGCTCGACACCTAGCGGTAGCGCACAACAAGCAGGCCACGAGCGCGTGCTCCAGCACCGAGCGGAGGCAGGCCAAAAGGAAGCACGCACAAAAGGCAGAAAACGGCCACCTCCAGACGAAGAGAACAAAAAAGTGGAAGGAGGCATCAACAACAAAGACGTAATAGACATGTGTAGAAAAGAAGGCACCGAATGTCAAAAAAAAAAAACTGGCTTTAGGACTCCTGGCAAGAAAAAATGTATCGCTCATGTAGAGGGCCAAGAGGCATGGGAGGCCAAAAAGGGAAAAACACATATGCAGAAGAAAAAAGTGGCACCTTAGGTACCGAAGGCCAAGAGTAAGGTACCAGAGGTAGTGGATGCCAAGAAGAAGGCGGTGCATGTGAAAAATGAATTGAGGTGGGGTTAAAGAAAGTAATATAGCGGATGTGGAAAAGGTTGCGGAGGCCAAAAGAAGGAAAGGCGCAAGGCAGTAGTAGTGGGCGGAGAGGTGGCGGACAAAAAAAAAAAAAAAGTTGGTGACAGGCCCGTCGGATGCAATAAATGGCGCGACGAAAAAACATGGTGTGGATTGCAGCGGGGGCATGTCTCGTTTAAAAGGGACAACGCACATGTTACAAAGAAAACGTGACGACGATGTCGCAAATAAAAAATAATGTTGCCCAAATGAAGGGAAAAAAATTATGAAAGACTCATGCCCACGGTTAGCGTATGGAAAGCTCGTGGGTCGTTCGTGACACGGACGTGTGAGTGCATGCCACACTCAATGAGACCCTGCCCCACATCATCACAATTTGGCACGCAGTAGATGGCATTTTTGTAGGGTTCGCACATACATCATCCATTGTCAGTCACATATTCTTCAAAGTGTTAAACACTAGTACTATCATTGTGAGAATTTGTCCTTCTGCCTGGGCCATGGATGACACGTATCAAGATGCAGTACTTGGCCACATGCTTTCAGCACCAAGCACAAACATTATCATGGTTGAAGGTCCGGGAGGCGACGCCGTAACGCCGGGTGTATAGTCCCCAGACCCTTCCTTCTCCAGGGCCGCACTATGAATAAAACAACTTGAAGTACGTTCGGGCAAAGATCCTTGGCGGACAACATCAACATGTCGTTTCTTTTTTCTTTTTTTTACGGAACGGGGTTTCATGTGCATGATATGAGGCAACAATGACAGACGATAGATGAACGTACGTCGTGCGAGTTAAACCGACGATGTAGTAGGGTTGCGCTGCCTTATATTTTTCATAATAACAACATTTGTACATGGGGAAACATTTCAACTCTTACTCCTTCTGTAAAAACATGAAAACAGTAACCGAAATGGAGCCGCAAAATCTTTGTCACTCGTATCACGTGTTTATTATTTTTATTTATTTTAGTATGTTTATGGGGAGCATTACAATCAAACATTGCAAGAAAATAGACCATGTGACATAGTAGTGATTTTTTTTTAACTCGGAGATCCCACGAGTAAGACTAACATCAATTGCACATTCGATATGAAGTCATATGATTTGTTTTGTCATTAAGTTTGAGTTTCAAAATAGTGTTGTGTAGGTTTTGACTCTTGACAAAGTATAAAGCATTTGGCCACAAGTTTTCACGACCATATGCAACTTTTCCACCGCAATATTACGCCGAGAAAAAATGGAAGTTTGGTGGTGAATGATACTTATTCATAATGAAACAGTTGACCTTAGACATATCGTGCGGGCTGTAAATTTAAATCACTCTTACTTTATCAGTGGAGACGAGAGTAAGAATAAAAAATGGGATACAAAATACAACGGAAAAAATGCACAATCCTTCCATAAAACGTTGAAGGTAACTCATCATCTCTCTTGCTTTTGTCTATTGTCAAGCACCAGCATGTGCCATTACGAGAGTTGCGTTAACACGAGGGGTGACTACTACAGGCCACATGGCTCTGTAGAGACCCTCTTTGCCATCAGTTACCAAGTATTAGTTAATAGACTCTCTCAGGAACACTGCATTCATCTCCTACTGCAGAATAGTGGGAAACATGTTCAAAACATATTGAAAATTGTTGGTCGCGTGTTGGTAAATTGTGAGAAGCCTGCCATAACAACATTAAACAATTGACCGCACGCCTTCTCTTTGTTTAAAAGTTAGTTCCAGCTTACGTGCATGTTGAAATCGGGATGAAAATTTGCCACTTTGTTTGGTTTGGAGGGTTGATTAGTATATCGAGGGGCTCAAGGCATACTTTCGGTTGCAGGGAGGGTATAAAAAAGTGGAGAAGGTCCTACATTCCCTTACCCTTTTCTAGTGGAGGATAACCTATCCTTCGACTTATTGTTACGGATGGACTAGGGAAAGGTCACAAAGGCCGATGTGAAAATGGGCAAGTAAAAGTGTTGGCTGCCTAGTCTTGAAGGTGGAAAAATAAAACTCGACTTCTCTATAAGTTCGTAGTTCATTCCGCTCTATCACTATGTTGTAAGAGTGTCCCTACATTCGCTAGGCATATAGTTAAGGAAAGCATTGTTGAGCAGGATTTTATAGTTTACATTAGGCCGGTTGGTGAAGATAAAAAAGGGAGGAAGAAACACGTTCAATCACTATTAGAACAATTTGCTAATATGGGAGATGCCCCAACCGGTGTTGTAGAGACGACGCTCCGGATTGAGACTGAACCCCGCAGTAAGACTCTAAAGGGCTTGATCTATATGATGTCTTTCAAGGAGCTGAAATAGTTGCGTAAGCAAGTATATGAATTGGTTGAAAAATGGTGGATAAAGACTCATAAAATCAAGTTCCTCGCCATATGGACCAACAGTCCAATGCGTGTTTAAGAAAGAAGGTGAACTGCGGATATGTATCAACTATAAAGGTTTGAATATCGTTACATACTGATCTGCTAGATAGGGTGAAAGCATGTAAGTAAAACTGATTTAAAAACGGGGTATAATCTGCTAGAGATACAACTCAAAGACCAACACAAAACGGTCTTTACTGGCCCTTTAGGGCTCGCTATGACCACCATGATTTTATGGTTATGCCCTTGCATGGTTTCAAATATCCATGAATCTTCTGCTTAGAGATTGGTTAGATAAATTTGTTGTCGTATACTTCAGATTATTTTTCCTCGATAACAACAGTTCCCCTCGATCGTCTGGTGAATTGCTTCGGCGAAGTTGGTAGCGGAAAATGTGAAGGATCGTAGGTAGCAATGAACCTCCGAGTTACCAACCTTTTAATCACCTCCTTGTTTCTATATGCCACATTCATATGTTTACAAACTTCTTTTAACTCTTCAAAAGTTATAACATTCACGACACTTTGCTTCAAACTTTTTTTCCCTCCGTAGTCACATAGTGCCACGATATGTTTCAGTAACAAATTAATTTTAAGTAGCGTATTGGAACTTTTCGCTTCAGATATGGAAGTACTCTTCAATTTTTGAATCTTTTTCATTGATTTTTTAAAAAGTCGTACTCATTCTCTTCTTCGGTGTAACCATCGGGGGTCTGTTCTCCACTGGCTTCTCTGGTCCCCTCTTCCTTTTCTCACTAATCTCTAGCTTTGTTGT